CTGCTTTGCGTCCTGTTTCTTTGTCCCTAGACCCTCCCCTCCTCTGCTTTCAGTGGGTCTTTCCCTTCCTTACTGGCCCTGAGCAGCAGGTGCTGCTGCTGCTGCCACCTGACCCTCAATTTCCCCCTTCCCTCTGCTTTTCAAACGTTGTGCTGTCTCCTGTTCTTTGGAACTTTCATCTGAAAAACCAGGTCTTTGCAGGTGTGCCCTTCCCACCACTCTGGCTTGGGGGAGGGGTGGCGTTTGGTTCTTCTAAACTGGTGGGGCATCAGGCCTGGCTCTTTGGCTGCCCACGTGTTTCCTTTGAGGGGCGACCTCCAGGTTTGGCGCTGTCCCGGAGCTCTGAGTCTTTCTGACTCTGGTGTCTGGATAACTGAGGTTCTCTCCCTCTTGGCTTCTCACCACCATCCTTTGCACATCAGAGATGTTCTGTAAGTGTCAAATGAATATTTATGTGCCTAGAAAACTTGCAGCCTTGTGGCAGACAGCTCAAAAACTCAGCAGCCATCATCGTTTCTGATGGAATCTTGTCAAACTGGAATCCTGTTAGCTTTTAATTGTTGTAGGCAGGTTGATCCCCCCAGGGATGGTTTTTTTGGCTACTCGTAAAACAAGTATAAAGACCTAAACAGCCCTCAGTCCCACGAGGCCCTCTTCCCAGGTCAGCGGCAGTGCTGGTGGTGGAGGGGCCGAAACAAGGGGAGAGGCCACAACATCCAACTGTTTTAAGACAGCCTTGTACCATGGATCCTGGTGACCTGTCCTCTAAGAGTCCGTGCTATGACTCCTTCATGAATAAAATTTTAAAAAATATACTATCCGCCCTCCCGCCCCTAGCTCTGTCCTGAGCCCTCTTCTCTTTCTGAACTTCTTCTTGGAGATTTCATCTGCTTCCTTGGGTTTAACAAGTTTCTCTCTGTAGGGTACTCTCAGATCTCTGTAGCCAGCCCTGACCTCTCTCCTGAGTGCCAACCCCGCGTCAATAACTGCCAACTGGGCATTTCTACCTGAGTGTCCTCTAGGCCTCTCAATCTCAGCATGCCCAAAGCAGAATTCATTATCTCTCTCTCTCCAAATCCACTTCTCCCCCCTGCCCCCGATGCCTCTCACATTTCCCTTCCTATTTTTCTTTCCTATTATTCCAGTTCCTGCTTTGTCTTTTCAGGTCAAACTGACCCAATGGCTCTTCCCTCTCTACCTTACCTCTCCCACCTATGGGCTTTTGCCCTGGCCGCTGCCTGTGTTTGGAACGCACTCGCTTCTCACATTTAGAACGCCAGTTCCCTTCCAGAAACAGCTCAGATGAGGCCTTTCTGATCATTCCTTTTGTTAGCCCTTTCTTCTTCTTCAAATTGCTTTGTATTATTTCTCTTCAGTACTTTGTAGTGTGTCTGCGTGTGTGCTGTTTCACTCCAGTGGAAAATCAGCACTTGTGTGCGTGTGTGTGTGTGTGTGTGTGTGTGTGTGTGTGTGTGTCTGGCACCTAGGCTCACTAATGCCTATTGAACTGAAGAGAAAGATCCATGGAACAGAAAACATACATTTCCGGCTTGATGGGTTTTTATGATGTACACTGCCCCTTTGTGTTTGGAACAGCTGAGGACTGAGGACCAGCTGTTGTGGGCTCATGGAAAACACCTAGGCTTGGAATGGGCCGGCTCTTTGTTACTGCTCTTAGCCACTTGCTTCCTGGGGAAAATCGCTTTTACATCTCCGTGTCTTGCACTTAGCACAGTGCCCAGCACATAGTGGGTACTTAATATGTGGTTTGTCCTTCATTCTCAAAGAGGGAGACGATGCCATGACGTGCTTCATAATTGTTTGTTGACTGACTGGCTGACCTGGGTTTCTTCCTGTATAGAAGGAGGGTTTTGGACTCCTACCAGCAGTGAGGATGATTCGAATTCAGCCCTTGCTAGCACAACCCTGCAGGGTGGGCTTCAAGGTTCTCTTTCTCCTCTTACTAGCTCTGAACTTCTCCTAAGGGCTCAGTTGAAGTTCGAGCCAGCGCGAATGGACTCTCTGCTCTCCTAGTTTCTCTAACTTTAGCCCCTTTTCACGGTTATCAGGAATCTCTTGGCCAGCCGCCATTCAGACTTGGCAGAATTCTCTGCTTCCTTGTTCTCTCACTCCTCGATTCTGCTCTCAGCCAATGGAGTGAGAATCTCCCTCGGACACCATTTTTTTATATTATCTTCTTGTCCACAAACCTATAGTGGCAACTTAGTGCCTTTAAAAGTAAAACTAATAAAGAACTTTAAGAAAAAAAGATGGCGCTCACTTCTGGGATCCTGGATTTAGAGGTGGGAGGGCCATTGAAGGTCATCCAGTCTGACCCCCTTGTCTGACAGGAGAAAACCAAGGCTGGGAGAGCGACTTACTCAAAGTCCCGCAAGTGGCAACAGAAGGTCTGGGATTTGAACTCAAGCCAGCATCTTTTCCATGGTAGCGTTCTGCCTCTGCTTTGGACTTAGGAGGAGCTATCTGTTTTCTAGCGGAACGCTTTCCAACATGCTTCCCTTTGTCCATTTTCCCATCTCATCTCTTCCAAGGTGGAATCTATGCTACACTGGCAAACCGTCTTTCTTTTCCCTTGTCTGTTCTTTCCTTGACGTACGCTGCTTCCTCTACCCATAGCGGATGAGGAATCCAATCCCTCCCCTCTTTTGCGGTCTGCCCTTCTGGCCCCCTCCCCTCTCCACGTCTTGCTCAGTGCACATTTCTCTCAGATTAGATCCACCTCAGTCTGTCCCAGGTCCTTGGTCTCCTTCCATTTTCATTACATCCCAATTGTTTTCCTTCTTTCTTATTTTTTTGGGGGAAGAGATCACAGGCATATTTTTCCACATGGTATTTTCTTCTCTAACTGGAGTTGAAGTTCTCTGATGTCATTTTCATGGGCGGCTAGGGGGTGCTGTAGTGCACAGAGCACCAGGCCTGGAGTCAGGAAGACTCTTCTTCCAGAGTTCAAATCTGGCCTCAGACACTTACTAGCTGTGCAACCTTGGGCAAGTCGTTTAACCTTCTTTGCCTCACTTTCCTTATCTGGAGAAGAAAATGGAAAACCACTCCATTATCTTTGCAAAGAAAAAAAAAAAACAACAACTCCAAATGGGGTCACAAAGAGTCGGGCGTGGACTGAACAACAATGACATTTTTCACAAAGTTTTGCTTACACTCGCTCAGTCTGGCCGTGGAATCCTGTGCTCTGCCCATGGCAGGTGATTAGGTAAGGGCTACCTAAAACTGTGTGTCCTCCCTTCTTAATCAAGTGGGAATCAAGTATTTATATTTGAGCACATGCCGAAATTAATAATCATCATTTCTTTTTTGGCTTGGCCCCAGAGAACAGAAATAGCAGCAGTGGATAGGAACTGCAAAGTGACAAATTTGGACTTAAGGGGAAAGGAAAACTTTCTGATAGTGAGAACTGTCCAAGCTTGGCACGGGCTGCCTGGGGATGGAGGGAGCCTTCCACTGCATGGGAGAGGGGGGGTCTTTAGGCCAAGGCCGGCTGCCCTCCGCCCCGCACTTAGCATAGCGTCCGTCACATAGTAGGTACTTAATAAACGGCAATTGACTGATGGATTGTCAGGGATGTTGTAGAGGGAATTCTCGTGTAGATCTTGGTTGGCCTGCCGAAGCCCCTTCTAAGCCCGATATTCCACCATCCTCGATCTCATCTTGAACCTCTCCTCCCCGATGTATTCCACAGACTAAATAAGCCTTCATTCTGCAGAGCTGTGAAACAATTTCTAACCTTTCCAGCAAGGGCTAAATGTGAATCATCCTCACTGCTGGTAGGAGTCCAAAACCCTCCTTCTATAGAGGAAGAAACTAAGGTCAGCCAATCAGTCAACAAACATTTTTTTTTTTTGGGCTAAGCAATGGGGTTAAGTGACTTGCCCAGAGTCACAACAGGTAGTAAGTGTCAAGTGTCTGAGGCCAGATTTGAACTCAGGTCCTCCTCATTCTAGGGCCGGTGTGCTGTCCTCTGGATCACCTAGCTGCCCCTCAGCAAACAATTCTTAAGAGATTCATTAAGAATGAAATCATTCAAAGAAGAACTACCCAGCATCCCTTCCCCTGGGTCTTTTAATATAGCTGTGCAATTCTGGGGCTGCCCACCTGTTCCCATGTTCATTGTCAGACTGACCCATCTCCATATCTGATCACCCCTTTCACAAGACGCAGCCTGGCATAGTGCCAGAAGCACTGAGTTCGAATCCGTTTTCAGATGTGTACTAGCTGTGTGACCCTGGATAGATCCCTAAACCTCACTGAACCTCAGCCTTCTCACCTGTAAAATGAGGGTGTTGGATTCAGAGGCCTCCCAGGGCCCTTCCAGTCCTAGACTGAAGGTCCACTTCTCTGTTTTTAACCATTTTAATCAGTAATTAAAATGCCACGGCCTACTCACCCCCACCACTGGCTTCTCCATCTTTCCATTACATCACAATTCTTTTGGGCTGATGGAAGCAAGTGATTCTAGGGGAGGTTGCTTTCCCCGGCTAGCTTGTTGGCCACTTGGGGCCAGTCTGTGCTTGGTGAAAGGCCTTTGCCTTTTTTGTTGTCCACCGGGTCCTTTGGCTACTGTTCTTTTCTCTCTTCCAGACTCAGCTCCTGATTGCCTTCTATGAGGAGCCTAGTCTTTTCCTTCCTTAAATAATTCATATTTTTATATAGTTATGCTATATTGCATTGACTTACCTGGGTGCTTCTGTTCTCTAACCACTCCCACACATAAATCACTTATTATTATTTATATTATTATAAATTATTATATATTATAATATATTATTATATTTTATATAATATACATAATATAATATATTATTATAATATATATTTATAACAATATTCTATTATTATGACACTTTCAGTGTCCCCAGAGAAGGTACCAGTCTGCATTGATGATTCAACTGGTCCATCTCTATTTGCCCTTTGTGTGACCTCCTGGTATCAGTCTAACAGGATGACTTTTGTTTTTCCCATTTTAGGGAATCGTGGGTAATTTGGCCAGTGGCAAGTCTGCACTGGTCCACCGGTATCTGACTGGCACATACGTTCAGGAGGAATCACCTGAAGGTAAGTTACGGGCGAGCTGCCCATCTACGGCTTGTGCCAATTTAATTGTTTTGTTTTATTGAATGTATTTGCAATCATCAATATACTCTAGCACTATCCCTCTCCCGAGGGAAAAAAAAAAATCCCTTATAAAAGCCTAAAAGTATAACTGGTGTTTCTGCAACTTAGTAGTCAGCAAGATGCATTTACTTGAGCTATTGGCGTAGTAGGGAAAGCTAGCTTTAAGCAGAGAGGTTGAATGTATTGCTTTCGTTTTGTAATGGGTTAGCCCTTGTCCACTGAATAGTTATTCCGATGGGGAATTTCCCTAATCCTGATGTCCTGTTTCCATAAAAATGTTTATGCGCTCTGTGCCACAAGGATGGGAGCATTTTTCCAACGATGGCAGAAGCACCAATCCCTCTCCCGGTCTAATTGGATCCCATGAGTTTCCCCCTGGAATATATTCAAAGCATTTAATTGGCATCGGGGAGAAAACGATTTCTTTTGGCCGCAAGCCTTTGAGTGACTTGATTCACGTGCTCCCAACCTTTTAATCGTTTTTTAAATTATTATTATTATTTTTTTTTTTTTTACGAGTAATTGAAATGGAAACAGTAATAACTGGGAGAGCTGCTTTCTAAGTCCTTGTAGCCAGGTCAGAACGCTCCCAAAGAAATGACAAAGCAAAGCCATTCTCAATGCTGTTGACTCCTTGTGATCTTTTCCTCCATCTCTGAGACACTGAATCTCTGGTTCCTTCCTTTTCTTACTGGCTGTTCCATTCTTTGCAGATGTGGATGCAGGTAACTATACGTTCCCTTCATGCAGCGCTTGTCTTGTTTGGAAGAGACAGGAGGCTCAGCTTCTGTTACTGTAGAATCCCGTCCCATCTCCCCCCCCCCCCCCCGCTCCTTGTTTTGTGTCATCATCCAAGTGCTTTTTCTTTCTTTTTTTTTTTTCTTTAGATTTTAAAAACATCTCACTGTTTCATCCCTTAGTTGTCTTCTTAGCAGTAGTTGTGAGCAGTTCCATATGTCTCCTGTAACACCTGTTTGCCGTTGTTAACTCCTGTCCTGGACGCTGTGTCTTACTCTGAACCTTAATTCCAACAGTCTTGGTGTTGCTCTCAGGGTGGGCTTTACTTTGCCCCGAAAGGTTAGCGACTGTGCTCTGAAGCTGGAGGTTTGATCCCAGCGGGGAGAGACCACCTGGAGTGTGGAGAAGGTGATGAGGACAGAAATTCGTGGAATATTACCAGTTAATCACCTACAAATGAGAATTGGACACAACATGCATTTATGAAGCAGTTTCGTGGTACCGGGTACCTTACTAGCCACTGGGGTTACCAAGACAAAAGTGAGGTGCATCCTGTCCCCAGAGAGCTTCAGGTTTTACTGGAGGAAACAAAAATGTTTGGTAATCTATAAATTCAGAGAGTAAGCAAAATAAATGCAAAGCAATTTCCGTGATAAAAGAGCTACTAGGAACAGGGGGATTTGGGTAAGGGTCATAGGAACACATCAGTGAAATGATAGGTCTGGTCCCTTCAGATTCCGTGGTCCCTTCTCAGTGGCACGATAGAAGAGATCCTTGTTCATGCAGGGATCGCCCACGTGGCTTTTGAAGTCCCTTCCGTCTCTGAGATTCTGGGAAATATCACCACATAAGGTAGCCCTGGACACCATACAGACTAGGTCCAGCTTTTATTCCATGCCAATCTAGAACTCTAGGAGAGCCCACTCAAGCCCACCTGTAACATGGCTTCTGGTACCATAGGAAAATGTGTATGATAGAAAAGGTCTGAATTGGGAGTTAATGGACCCCAGGTTCAAATCCTGGCATATGTATGTGTTACCTGTTTGACCTTAGGCAAGTCTTTTGACCTCTCTGAGCCTCAATTTCCTCTTGTATAACAAAGGTACTGGATTAAAGTAGACTTTCCTCTCTTGGAGGGGGAGGGGCATTCCTTGGTTATCTTTAAGCAGAGACTGAACAGTCACTCATTCAGTATTTTGTAGCAGAAATCCCTTCCTTTTTTTCTCATTTATTATGGATTGGACCAGATAGATGGTCACTGCGGCTCATGCCAACTCTATGATTCTATGACGAGGTGGTCTCTAAGGTTTCTTTCAGCTCCAAAGCTCTGAGCCTATGAGCGTATGCCATTGGTGTGCCCACAGTGCTGCCTCGTCATGGGAAGCCATGGTGGGTCTCCTGTATGGTGCCCGTTGTACATTCAAACCCCGGCCACCACTTTCCCGTTTTGCTGGCAGATCTCTTCTCTGTGGGTTTACTGGGGCCTCTTGCCCCCTCCTGCTCTTTATTATCATGCCAAAGTGTCCATTGTAGCCCGTGACAGTTTTCTCCTGTAGCTGCGTATTTGCGATCAAGGGCGTGGGATTGGCTTTGTGACATTCGTTGTCATTCAAGTGCCTGTCAGGGTCCGCAGAGCTCCTGGCCTGGCCCTCTGATTCACGGTTCGTCCTTTTGATGAGGCTAATCTCAGCTCTCCACATTTCTGCTGTAATTGTTCTTGCCTCTGGCCAAGTGATCAAGGAAGCTGCCTGCTTGTGATGGGGCGCTTCCTCAGGATTTGGGGGAGGAAGCCGGGAAGCTCGTTTTTCATCTGTTTCCCACCGTAATCTCGGTGCCGAGAAACCATCGGGTTCGACTGGGGCGATGGTCCCAGGCTGAAAGGTGGGTTTCGGAAGCACCTGTAGCTTTGATTTTTCCTGATCTTTTCTGGGGACCAGGACTTTTACCATTCACATACACACGTTTGATCAGCAGTGCAGGAGCAGGAACGTAGAAAATGCATTCTGGAGGAAAAAACTGAAAGGAGGAATGTTTGGGTAACAGATTTCTCAAGCTCTCTATCCACACAAGGATAAATCATGGCCCGGTGGAAAGAGCCCACATAGGAAGTCTGACGATGTCAGTTCAGACCCTGAGCCTGTTTGACCTTGAACAAGTCAATCTCCTTGAGCCTCGGCTCCCTTCCCTGTTATGAGAGGGGATTGGATTCAATGACAGGCTCTTGGGTCCCTCTCAGCTCCGTATTTCTGCTCCTTAGTCACTTAACCTGGCTCAGCCTCAGTTTCTTCCTCTGTAAAAAGAGGGGAGGGTGAACTCAATGACCATCTAAAACTTCTAGTTCTGTATCTGTGATTCTGAGTCAGCTTGTCAGAGCCTCCATTTTCTGCTCTGTAAAAAGAGGAGGTGAGCTTAGATGATCATCAGAGGCCCCTTTCAGCTTTTACCCTGTGCTCCCCTGAGACAACCACGTGTACACGAACACTCAGACACCCAGACGTGGGAAGCAGTTTAGAGGAATTGGAATTGGTCACCCAGGTCTATTCAGCAGGTATTTATTAAGCACCTACTATGTGGAAGGCACCTACTATGTGGAAGGCACCTGCTGTATGCCAGGGGCTGGGGTGACATTGCTCACACTGCCCTCCAGTCTACCTTCTCCTGAAGAGAAGACACGAATGCATGTCTTGCCTCTAGCTATGCATGTTACCCTAGGTAAGTCTCTTAACCTCTTAGTGCTTTAGGCCCTTCTAGGACTATAGATGGAGCAAGTCACTATGCCATTTGGTGCCTCAGTTTCTTCCTCTGTAAAACGAGAGCGTTGGACTCTGTTTCTATCCTATCTGTTTCTACATTTTTGTCCCTGTGATCTGCATGAGGTGGAGGGAGGGCTTTCTCTTTGTGCTGAAATCACGGGTCTTAACACCCTCAGCAGCCTCCCTCCCCAAGTACACACGCAGAGACACACATACCCTGAATTTAAGTGTTGAATTAATTGCAAAGCACTTGGTAGGAGCATGGTGTTAGGGGGAAATATACATGTATGTATGTATGTGTATGCGTGTGTGTATTTATGTGTGTATGTATGTATGCGTGCATGTGTGTGTGTCTGTGTGTCTGTGTGTATTGAAGGTGAGCTCTTATCAGCCTAATATTTAAACAGGAAATTGATTCCACAGTGTATTTAAAAGCCCAACCCTCCTTATGGTGGTGCCCAGAGAGGAGATAAGCTTGAATGTGACCACGACCTCTCTGGCTGAGCCCCAGTGTTTTCCCCACCACAGCTTGTGGGAGGTGACTTTGTGCCCGTCCTTCTGGTCGTTCAGGGCAGTTGAGGAAACCCTTATGAAGTACCTTCTCTATGGGAGACACATGCTGGGGAGCCCCCAGGAGAGCCCCCTGTGCCCCATTTAATCTCTTTCACCCCCTTTGTCTGTGTCCAGCCCCAGCGTCCCTCCCAGCTTGGTTCTGAGGCTGTGCTCGGCCCATGGAGGGGCCTAGGCCCCATTCAGAGCAGGGACCAACTTGGCTGGGCCTCTTTTGTCCCTGCTCTGCCATAACTCATCACATTCCCAGACTCGAAGTTGGCCTCACCACATCTCCGAGTTTCACAGCTTTAGTGCCGGGAAGGCCCTCAGGTCCTCTAGGTCACTTCCCTCATTTTCCAGAGAAGGAAACTGAGGCCCAGAGAAGGTCTTCCCCTTTGAGACTGTAGAGTTTATGTGTCATCTCACCCTTTCGAACTGAAGCTTCCGTAATAGATCCCTGACTGACCGACTGGTAACAGCAGGGCCGAGATCTGAACCAGGGTCTGTCCTCTGACTCCTGCTTCCACCCTCTGGCTGCTGAGTCCTGTCAGTTCCTCGCTGGCACGGGGATAGTGGGTGCTCCTGAGCCACTGGGTCCATCCCTGGAGTCAGGAGGTCTCGAGCCTGAAGCTCATTCCAGACTCTGAGCCAGTCACTCCACCTCAGTTCTCTAATCTAGACTCTAACCCTGGCCCTGATTCCCAGCCTCAGTGTCCCCATTTGCAAAATGGGTCTAATAATGACACTTCTTAGGGTTTCAGGGAGGCTCGAGGAAGAGATCTGCCGAGCGCTCATCACATCCACGTCAGGAGTCATTGCCACTAACAGGAGCAGTGTGGCCATTCATCCTCAGCCCCCTGAGAACGTTTGGCCAACGGGGGCCCTTTGGGAGGATCA